ACATATAATATATTTTTAGAAATGAAAAAAATTAGACATTAATAGTTTTTTAATTAATCCAGGGGTCTAGGGAATAAGCAAGAGCTATGAAATTTTGAAATGTTAGAATTCGGCAAAACTTCTTGAGAGACAAAAATTACAAGCACCTTGAAATCCCAATGAAAAGATATTGTTATTCAAAGCGCTACAGACTAACAAACCACTCTAGAACTCGCATTTACTTACTCAAATGCGCAATTAATATTAATAAGCTTGTCATAATTTCACGCGCTAGTGGTAGCTTTCAGCGTTGCAAAATTCACTTTCATACGCCAACGAGTGCTCACTCTTATCGTTTAATCCGAAAACTTCCGTCATTGAACTTTTGGCCTGACTTCGCTGGCTCTTCTTTGCGCACATCAATTCGGGGTACAACAGAAAAGTTAACTCGTAAAAGCTAATTTACACTTTTCCCACCGATTGAAAATCGGTTCATTTTGACAACCCACTAACTACCAGCACCTCTGTGCGCGCCAATCGTAATGAATTTCAATTTTATATTGCAATATTTTCTATCTCAAACCCATTCAAAGAGCACTGCAAGCATAGTTGGAAAGTTTCAACACAAAGTTACTATTTGTTGTTGTGCATGCCTGTGACTGCATTTGTGCATGGCAAGCAGAGAGGATGCGAGCAAAATTGACCCTCAAATTTCAACTTTTAATTAGATCACTCGAACTCGCATTGAAAACAGCATGACTTTTGACGGGAGCAGAAGCGCCGGGAAGCTGCATTGCAAATTGTGAGGTGAGTGAATGTAACTGTGGTAAGTTCGAGGTCGGAGAGATGGTAGAGGAATTGTATACTTCGTTACATTTACAATTGAATCACGTTGCTTTTAAAATGAGAGTAATATAAACAACAAAAATGAATTTTGTTTGCTATCATATTCTATTTTCTTTTATAATAATGCATTCCCACGGCTCCTCTTAACTCAAAAATCTTTTTGCAACGATAGAGTTGTTTTCATTGAATTTTAACGGTAACCACTCACCACTCGTGCCACTTGCATTTTAGTCTGTGAGTCCCAGAGTGCAATTGAGAGTTGAGTCAAAGTTGATTGCGCATTTCATTGGCTTCGCCAAATATTTTTCATTTCATTTCAACGCCCAAGAGCGCCAAACTTATTCTCTACATCAATTGATTGTATTAAAGGTCCATAGATATTGCGGAGACTATGACCATCCAACAGCATGAAAAGCAGATTGGGCAAAAACTTTAAGGACTCATTTCATGTGTCGGCGTGGGGTGTTAAAATAAAGAGAAAATTGGACACAAGTTTTCCAAATATTACAAATTTTGTCGTACTTGCTTCTCGCTGCCTTCTAATGAAGACAAACAAAAAAGAGCGAATCTAAAAACTTTCAACTTTATTAAAATGGGTTTCTCATTTAACATCTAAAAGACTGATATATAGTAAGATTAGGCCTGTATTTAGGTGGATATTTATAATAAATATTATCGTATAAATATATATAGGTATATAGATAAAGCAAATTAGATCCATGCGTGAAATAAACATCAATTGCGAAATATTTATTTCTGATAATTCCTTTCCAAAAAAATTACTTGACTTAACTCACTTGAGCTAATCCTGTTTGACAACAAAAACAAAACTTCTAAATAGGCACTTCTAACATCTTTGTTCTTTTAATTTTAATTTTAGTTGGAATTCCAATTTATTTTTATTTCAGTTCATCATCGTTTTACGTGTTGGAAATTCAGTTTGTGACGAGATTGGCCCACGTGCGCTAAACGAGCACTTCGTTGACTTCGTGATGTCCGGAATTTCACTCGCGCACACACAACCACACCTATGTCTGCCTCAAATTACTACCAAGTTTAACTTTATTGCGCTAGAAACCCGTTAATTTGAATTTAAGGAAAGCCCAATTAAAAAGGTGAACTAATTTTATTTAGCTGACAAAAGAGGACACTGATAAGGAGTAGACAAACGAATGGAGGCATAACGAGCAAATTATAACTTTTGGGAAAGTAAAATAAAACAAAAATGTAAGGTGAAACAGAAATAAAATAAAATGGCTGCCAACTTTGTAAGCCGTCTTGCCTTTTTTTGATTTTCCAGCAAGTTTTCGCCGCCATTACTTTGCGCTCTCTTTCCTTCCATCCGTCCGGGTGTCCGCCTCAGTATCACAAAGCGACACAAACTTTCAATGAAGCGCAAATGAACTATGCCATCGCATTTCGCCTCCCGATTTGAATGCAGTCACGCGTCCTTCAGCCAGCTGACCGCCTCCTTCGCCGAGCGATAGTGTCTGCACAGGTATGTGGGTGTCGTTCGTCCCAAGAGCGGTGGCAAGGATTTTCTAAAATTTATTTGCTCTGTCACTTAGCCAGCCTACTAAGTCCCTCAATCGTGAGTCCTTTAAATAATAGTCTCAATGCAAAGTGTGTGAAGTAAGAAACGGGCAGCGGATGCAGCACATGGGGCAGCAACAACCACAGCAATGCTAGCTGCAAGTGACAATGTAGAATCGCCAAAAGTTTTTACGACATTTTTTTCGAGCGTCTGGTGCAATCAAAGCAAAAAGAAAACGAAATGCCACAAGCAATATTTCTGCCTTTACTAAAAATTCATTGCCGTTTGCAATTGCCTTGCGTCAATGAGCTGTTACGGTAACGGTGTGTAAAAGCAACATTGTTTCTACCTCAACTGCCAAGTGAATTGCCCACGGTCGTCTCGTTTACTTATGTCGTTTAAACTTTTGCTTGAATGCAACTCTAATTTCATTCCATCAAACCGCAAATGTAAAGAGCGGCGGAAGTTGTGGTCATGCTTTTATGTGTGGCGTGTATTAATCTTGTGGTTGTTGCCCGTGTGCGGAGCCTATAAACCAAATCTGTGGCTGTATAAAACTTTCGTTCAATTTGACAGGCATTTAAGGCGTAAGAGAAATTCGATTTACTTATGTATAACACGAGTATATAGATATATGTGTACAAAAATGAAATTGCACAACAAGCAATAAGGCAACATTTTTAGAAAGGCTTGCATGGCTTGGGGTGTTACAGTTATTCAAAATATTCCGAGCTAGAAAATTGAAAGCAACACAACCAGCATTTGGCTGTTTTGGCCTCTGGGTCACTTAAAGGGCCATTATTTGCAAATTAGTAATGAGTGTGATTTCTAGGAGACCATTAACAGATAAAGCGTTCGTCATTAGAAGTCGTACAGTACAGAATATAGTTCAAAATGGTGCTACATTTACACTGCGCAGTGGACGGAAGAATGAAGAACTGAGATCAATCAGCTTTACAAAATCTTTTTGACGGCGAAAATTAAAAAGTGCGTTTCAGTAAGGCGCGCTTTAAGGCATTACTGGAGTAAAAATCTATGTAAGATATTTTACTTCTGGCAAACGCTAACTTGGCAACAATCACACCTGTCACCGTTAAGCACCGAGTGTGCAGTCAAGCAAATTGAGTCTGCGCACGTGTGTTAGTTTGCCTTGGCAAGCACATTTTCGACAGTTAAACTACCCCAACAGCTTGCCAACTTAGTGAGATCTAGTCGAGCTTGGGGATGAGCATACGCAAATTTGACTAACTTAGCAAATTTTTGATATCCATACTTTTTATTTGTGAAACTTATGCAGAACTCTGCTTTCGGCCAGCTTGGCAATAGCTAGTGCAGCAAAAAACAAAAAAAAAAAAAAAAAATATACCAAATAAATGCTCTGTTCAGCTCTGCTCAACGCTCATGATATTCTGTGTAAACTCGCTTATAGTGTGTATTACAGATATGCTTTCTAAGTGTGCAGGTATGTGTGAAAGTGTGTGTGTTGAGTCATCGAGCTAGCATAATCTTGTTAGGCGGCAAAGTTTACTTCATAGAAATTTGTCCAACGGCAAAAAAGTTAGTTGTGTCAAGAAATAAAGTGCAAGAACAGCACACAAGATGGTGAAGAAGCAGAAGGAGAGGCAGATAAAGAAGCTAGAACCGCAGTAAATGAAGAAGTGAAAGTGGTAAAAAAAAGCAGGCAGAAATTGTCTTACACTCAACTGCAGTTTGCTGGTTGTCTGACTATTCGGTTGGCTTGCCAGTCGAAGTCGCAGGCTGGCAACTACAATCCTTGCGTAATTTATGCGAGCAACGAGCGTTGAAGGCTTACAAGGCTTATACTTGATATAATAGAAAATATAAATTTTTGATGGAATTTGCATAATTTTTATGCGGCTGAGTGTGCGGATGAAATTGGAGAATAAAGTGCATTTATAGCGCAGGAGCAGAGTTAACGAGATATGCGTACATGACAATGACAAGTTTGTATAAGAGAATAATCACAAAAGCATATGAAAGCATCCGTGTCACAGTTCTGCCGACAAAGGCAGGGTCTGGCATACACTCTTGTGTGCTTTGGAAATCGAATTTGTGGTCGTTCCCCAAGCACTTAACTGGTTATGCGGTATTGGATTTGCGGTGCTAATTGTCATGGCTTACTCTATGGATTACGGAACATGCAAACACCAAATTGCAGATTATATTTTTATGATGAGCGATAATAATGGTAGAAGCTAAGTCCGAGCTGAACTAATCTTTAAGAAGAAAAAGTAATAAAATACTTAATTGAAAAGAAAAACACAGTTTTCCTTTAAAAACTAGACGACTCTCTTATATTTTATATACGTAGAAGTACTAGCAAAACCACATAAGTAGAGGCGAAAACTTTACTTAAGCGTACTATTATATATGACTGCTAACAGCATTGTTAATTACTTAAATAATAAGGGTCTGCACGAATTGGCAGGGCTCAATGCCAATTCAGATTAAATAAAATATTCATATACAAGTAGATAGGAATAATTCATGATTTTCCTATTCGAGTTTTTGCTGCAGCCTTGTGCTGATTACTTCTGAGATTTCAAAATGAGTTGAGTACGTTGGGCAAAGTCTACATTGATTTGATGCCTTGCGAAATTGGTATAGCGTGCTCACTTACCTTGCCCATATTGACGAAACCATGATCCCGGGCCACTTGATCGGCCACATCGTCGTCGCCGCTCGGTATATGCACCGCCCAGGTGTGGGTATAATGCCCCGTCGCGCTGTCCTTGTCTGTCCCGCTGTTACTCTCCTCGTAGTCTAGTTGGTACGTCACACCGCCATCGAGCGCATTCACCGCGCCGCCTACAAGCAAATCGCTCGCGTTGCTTACGATGGCGGCACTGACGTTCGGCACAATCACGAAACCGACATTCAACGTACACAACAAAAACACTAAAAACACATTCAATTGCACACAATTTAATAAAATCCTATTTAAATGCAATGCAGCAAATGTCCGCGCTTTCACTCCGTGCTGTCGGCGGTGATGTGTATTGTATGTTTGTTTTTGCCGTTGTTGTGATTGAAAATGTCTACTCAGCGTGTTGGATTTACGTTTGCTATGCTGTCTTGGAATTATTAAATAACTACTAGTTTTTGTTGTTGTTACTGGTTTTGTTGCATTAAGAAAACTTGCATTAGTATCACAATATTGTTGTTGCTTTTGGAGTTCAAGGTGCCCACTATAGGACGACGCATGCGCAGTCACGACGTTTGGGTGCGCACGGGTAGCGGTTAGTGTTGGAAATGGTTTGCTTTTGTGGGACGTGCTCTCGCGGGCACCCGGTGCAATTGCCGCTGAACTCCATCGTACGACGTCGTTTTTCATTGTGCGTGTGCTGGGCGCAGTATGTTGCTTCTTAATGGAGAGCTTCTTGTTGTTGTTAGTTTTTCGTTTAAGCGTCGTTATTGGAAAAAGCCAGCTGATATTTATGCGCAGAGTTGCATTGGCAGTCAATAAAACACAAGTACTGAGGCGTGATCACAGAAGGGAGCGTATAAAATTTGATCTTGACCTGAAATAAGCAAAAGAGAGATCCAGTTTGAATTTAAAATAAAAACATGTTTCTACAAAACTTCTATTTGAATAATAAAATAAATGCAAAAAGCAACACCACCACAAATTTAAAAACATTGTATCTGAATTTTTTGTTTATAGAAGGTGACAACCAACATTATCAAGAAAGTTTTAATATTTAACAAGTAAGGAAGACCTAAGTTCGGCTGTAACCGAACATTTTATACTCTTGCAGCTTGCAAGAATCAAGTAATCGTAAATAAATTAAAATTTGGTATCTTCTTAATTTATGCTACTATATAAAATGCTATTTGCTACTTTTAAAATGGGAAAAAATATTGAACAAAGAATTTGCATAAAATTGTGTTTCGTACCAAATTTCGTGTGCGGAATAGTTGCGAATGTTAGAAAAAGGTATGGTGAATCTATTCTATCGATAACCCAAATCTACGACTGGTACAAAACCTTTAAGGATGGTCGAGAAACCGTCGATGACATGCCTCGTTCCGGTCGTCCTTCGTAGTCTACCACTGACAATAACATCAAATAATAGAAGAAAATCGTGCTCGAAAATTGTCATGCGAGTGTTAGAGAGATAGCACGTAAGCTTAACATCGGCCGTGAAGCAGCTCGTTTGATTTTTACCGATAATTTAGGCATGGGACGAGTCAATGCTCGGCTTGTTTCAAAATAGCTGAATTTTTGGCAAAATACCATGGATGTGAACGACTTTAAGACCAAAACTTGCTCAATACCACTGATCAACCACCGTATTCACCGAATTCGGCCCATGCGCCTTTTTGTTTCCAAAACTCAAGTTACTAATCCGTGGAACTCGTTTCGACTCGATTAAGGCCGTAAAAAAATACGCAGAAGGAACTGAAGGATTGGCAAAAAGGTGTCATATGTGTATCGCTTCAGAAGGAGCATATTTTGAAGGCGACAAATAAAACTGATGAAGATTAAACATTTTTCGTTTTACAATTTCCGGAAGCATTCTGGTAACAATGTATGTATGATATCTTATATCAACTCGCCCGAAGGTGCACAATGCAAAATTTCTACTTATAATACATTACTAATTTCCCTTTTGTTTACATTTAGCCAAGTCAACAACCTTATTTACATTTGGTTGTTTACATTTAGCCAAGTCAACAACCTTTATTTACATTTGGGTCATTGACCCTTTTGTTTACATTTTATAGGGCCAATGACTCTTTTGTTTACATTATGAGGTCAATGACCTGTTTGTTTACATTTTGCCGAGGGTAATCACCCCTTTGTTTACATTTTATGAGGTCAATAACCTTTTTGTTTACATTTAGCCAAGACAACAACCTTTGTTTACATTTAGCCAAGACAACAACCTTTGTTTACATTTAGCCAAGTCAACAACCTTTATTTACATTTGGGGTCATTGACCCTTTTGTTGACATTTTATAGGGCCAATGACTCTTTTGTTTACATTATGAGGTCAATGACCTGTTTGTTTACATTTTGCCGAGGGTAATCACCCCTTTGTTTACATTTTATGAGGTCAATAACCCTTTTGTTTACATTTAGCCAAGACAACAACCTTTGTTTACATTTAGCCAAGTCAACAACCTTTATTTACATTTGGGGTTATTGACCCTTTTGTTTACATTTTATAGGGCCAATGAATCTTTTGTTTACATTATGAGGTCAATGACCCGTTTGTTTACATTTTGCCGAGGGTAATCACCCCTTTGTTTACATTTTATGAGGTCAATAACCCTTTTGTTTACATTTAGCCAAGACAACAACCTTTGTTTACATTTAGTTAAGTCAACAACCTTTATTTACATTTGGGGTCACTGACACTTTTGTTGACATTTTATGGGGCCAATGACTCTTTTGTTTACAATACGAGGTCAATGACCTGTTTGTTTACATTTTGCCGAGGGTAATCACCCCTTTGTTTACATTTTATGAGGTCAATAACCTTTTTGTTTACATTTAGCCAAGACAACAACCTTTGTTTACATTTAGCCAAGTCAACAACCTTTATTTACATTTGGGGTCATTGACCCTTTTGTTTACATTTTATAGGGCCAATGACTCTTTTGTTTACATTATGAGGTCAATGACCTGTTTGTTTACATTTTGCCGAGGGTAATCACCCTTTGTTACATTTATGAGGTCAATAACCTTTGTTTACATTTAGCCAAGACAACAACCTTTGTTTACATTTAGCCAAGTCAACAACCTTTATTTACATTTGGGGTCATTGACCCTTTGTTTACATTTTATAGGCCAATGACTCTTGTTTACATTATGAGGTCAATGACCTGTTTGTTTACATTTTGCCGAGGTAATCACCCTTGTTTACATTTTATAAGGTCAATAACCCTTTTGTTTACATTTAGCCAAGACAACAACCTTTGTTTACATTTAGCCAAGTCAACAACCTTTATTTACATTTGGGGTCATTGACCCTTTTGTTTACATTTTATAGGGCCAATGACTCTTTTGTTTACATTATGAGGTCAATGACCTGTTTGTTTACATTTTGCCGAGGGTAACACCCTTTGTTTACATTTATGAGGTCAATAACCCTTTGTTTACATTTAGCCAAGACAACAACCTTTGTTTACATTTAGCCAAGTCAAACAACCTTTATTTACATTTGGGGTCATTGACCCTTTGTTTACATTTTATAGGGCCATTGACTCTTTGTTTACATTATGAGGTCAATGACCTGTTTGTTTACATTTTGCCGAGGGTAATCACCCTTTGTTTACATTTTATGAGGTCAATAACCTTTTTGTTTACATTTAGCCAAGACAACAACCTTTGTTTACATTTAGCCAAGTCAACAACCTTTACTTACATTTGGGGTATTGACCCTTTTGTTTACATTTTATGGGGACAATGACTCTTTTGTTTACATTATGAGGTCAATGACCTGTTTGTTTACATTTTGCCGAGGGTAATCACCCCTTTGTTTACATTTTATGAGGTCAATAACCCTTTTGTTTACATTTAGCCAAGACAACAACCTTTGTTTACATTTAGCCAAGTCAACAACCTTTATTTACATTTGGGTCATTGACCCTTTTGTTTACATTTTATAGGGCCAATGACTCTTTTGTTTACATTATGAGGTCAATGACCTGTTTGTTTACATTTTGCCGAGGGTAATCACCCCTTTGTTTACATTTTATGAGGTCAATAACCTTTTTGTTTACATTTAGCCAAGACAACAACCTTTGTTTACATTTAGCCAAGTCAACAACCTTTATTTACATTTGGGGTTATTGACCCTTTTGTTTACATTTTATGGGGACAATGACTCTTTTGTTTACATTATGAGGTCAATGACCTGTTTGTTTACATTTTGCCGAGGGTAATCTCCCCTTTGTTTACATTTTATGAGGTCAATAACCCTTTTGTTTACATTTAGCCAAGACAACAACCTTTGTTTACATTTAGCCAAGTCAACAATCTTTATTTATATTTGGGGTTATTGACCCATTTGTTTACATTTTATGGGGCCAATGACTCTTTTGTTTACATTATGAGGTCAATGACCTGACATTTTGCCGAGGGTAATCACCCCTTTGTGTACATATTATGAGGTCAATGGTTGTAAAATTTTATGTCTCTGACACATTTATTTATTGATTTATCGGGTTCTTAGTAGTTTTAAGGGTTAAGAGTTTTTATCCCAGTTTAGCTTTTTCACACTGTCGTAAGAGGTGTGAAATGTATTTTTCCGTGATATAGCTTGAATGTTTTGGGAGGTACATACGTTTTCAAAATTGTTTAAACTGCAGATGCCACTTCCGAATGCGATTCGTTATACCAAATATCATTGTGTTGTATTTTTTATTTTATTGTAGTTTTCAGTTGTTTTAAATTGTTTCAACTTATTATCATTGTTATGAAATATTTGAAATTTAAGCTAACACCTTGTGAACGAAATTTATTGCAAATTATTTGTTTTACTTAGACTCGAATATATTATTTTTTAATATAAAATTTATATCCTTTTTTGAACGATTTTCCTGCTGCCGCTGAAAGCCTTGGCCAATCTAAACACTCGACCAAACGGCAAATATTTACTGTTAACTGTTACTGTCAACAGCAGACATTTATTGTATTTATCTAAGTGAAATATGTCAGCTTAATCTGGATACATGTGGTACATATGTTTTATTCACCATACACTCACTCTCATTCAAACACAATTATATATACACACACATACATATGTAAATGTAAATAACTAGCAAATAAATTAGCTGATACACCGAAGTGAATCATAGATTGGTTTCATGCGCCCGCGGTCGCGGCTGATAGGCATGGAGTAGGGAATTTAATTATCAGTCAAATAGCCAAAACGTCACAGTGACATAGAGCAGAAGTTATAAATCACATGACGAGCAAAGCTGTATGCCATGTGGAGGGGAGCTACAAAACTGTTACACCGTTTCAGGGGCTTAGAAGTTCTCGTATTAGTGTTAGTGTGCGGAATCGGGTGGGTGAGTACATAGCTATGAGTGTATGTATTGGTAATGTTTATCATTTGTCATGTTGTGACAGTTGTTGGTTTACATATTTTGACACTTGTCAGCTAAGGAACAAGATTTGCCGCAGCGGTAGCTCAAACCGTTCATAAGCGTAAACGACATGAATGACAAGCAATCTATGTACGCGACAGCATCAGCGTCTCCATGCCGGTAGTGTATAATATGATGTCCTTTGAAGTCATCAAACATATTGATTGACAACGTCCAATCCTGCTAACATTTTTACATACACTTAGAGGAGACAATTTGTTGTAAATGAAAGCAATCAATACGGCTAACGGCAACTTGGCTTACCACATTGATCATAAGAGGCCGTCCTTACTCTGGTGTAACTTTAGCATTATATGGGTCGGCAATAAATTCAGAATTCAGCTACGAGCTGTATCAATTATCTGATGTATTCGCATGCGCTTTGCTCATCATGAACATACACACACACACATTT